AAAAAAAAAAAAAAAAAAAAAAAAAAAAAAAAAAAAAAAAGATGCTCTTACAGAAAGCCTTTGTCCTACATCCAAAAACTCTCCGACTCCAGTATCAACCCTTATATGTGTTTGTAAGACTCTGATGGGAAGTAGGAAGCAGTAAGCCACACAAGCATTGCTAGCATAGGCCTTTTCTTTTCCAAAATATTTGCAAGCCTTCTAGAAGTATGAAATAAGCTGGATGGTTGCCTGAGGTATACTTAGGAATTCAAGCCAGCAAGTGAGACCTGCATATCAGAGTGGGTATGAGTGGTTAAGAATAGCAAGGTGGCCACAGCCTGTGCTGGCCAGGAAAGATTACATGGAGAGGGTTGAACACTTTGTACTCCAGGGAATTTTGGAGAAGGCCTAATCTGGCAGGAGAAATGGGGGTAAGATTGAATAAAAAGCTTCATATATTGACAAATAAATTTCACAAATCTTATTGCGTGAGAAAAATAAAAGTTATAGATGGATACAAACAGTATATTATCTTTTATTATTGTTGTTTTACTCTCTGGTATACAGAATTGGATTAATACTCTCAGTCCAGGAGACAGTCATCATTAGTACATACAAGGTACTCTTATTTCTCTAAGTATTTACTTTTAATAATATATTAAGTTTTGGTGAAACTGCCACCAAAAGCTATGATGCCACAGCAACCTTAAATCCCGCGTTCAATCATTCCCCTGGTTACTTTTGTATACAGTTTTATCTCATCTACATATATTACACTTATATAAGGTTTAAACAGCTACAAAGAAATGCCACATAATGTTTAGAGATACAGAAATTATATAAAAAATATGACAATGACACAGGCCAAATTCAAAAGAGTACAGAGAGGAGAATGGGAAAATGGAAGGAAGGAAAAGGGAGGGAGCAGAGAGGGAGAGGGGAAAGAATGTATTTGTAATGAATTATTTCTTAAGTTGTATAGTAAGTACATAGGTGCCCATTATATTATTTTGTATCTTTTTGAATGTGATATTTCATAAATTAAAAAAAAAAAGAAAACCAGAGAGATGGATGATATCACTCGTGGACCTGTGGCATGTAAAGTATAAGTACCTTTCTGCCCTCACCCTCTTAGCACTTCCCTCAGCTTCCCCTGAGAACACATCTACTGCTGGGATGTGTGGTGTGGCTGAGTCTGGCCAAGGAGGTCTCATGAGCCCTGTCCTGATGGATGTCTTCACTGGCCAACTTGTTCTCACAAACTATCCCTCCTGTCTGCCTATATTTGGCCTTTAGACAATTTGACAGAATCAGAAATGCTCATTAACTTTTATTAACATTATACAGTTTGGTTAAACTGCTCCCATTCTGCTGAATTGCCTTGCATGCCTCACTTCTCAGCTGCAGCCTACCTGCAAAGAATTTGCTTTTGCAATCCTAACTCTTTACAATGTAGGGTAAACTGGGCTTTTTGGTATGTCTGGGGAAGGCTGTCTTTAAGAATTCCCAACATAGCTCTGTCAATCTTCGAAGACCCAGGCTGTGAAATATAGGTGTTGTTGAATTGCTTTGCAAAAAAACAACCTCCACATTGTTCTTTTTCCTCCCATAATGATTGTGCATATAAATAAGCTGTGAGTATAGATGGGTTCTGATCTGTTGGGTTCCACTGGCATCAAGTTCACAAGAGAGAAAAAGGTCAGCTATACAGAGTGGGCCAGTTTTGCTCCAAGCTTCCTTCAGAGTCTGGGTTTCTTTTACCATGCTCAAAGTGGACAAGTTCAGTCCTGAACAAAAGGATGGGGTGGTTGCCACGTGCAGACTTTCACAATCCTCAAGAACACTTTGTGAGACTGATGCATAAACAGTGGGCCCTGTCAGTCTAATCTAACTATAAAAGCAGGACAGGCTAAGGAGAATGGCTTGATGTGACCTAGTTTGATCTCATAAAGGCCTGAAACATGCCTTACAATACTTAATACAGATACACATAGACCTGAGAAGCCAGGTCTGGACCACACAGCTAATAGGTGGGTGCTTACCTGACTAGAATATAGGAAGCTTTAACCTCCCTTCTATTCCCAATTTCACCTGTGAGACAAGGGAAATTAAGAACTCAATAAAATTGCTTTTAGCTCCCTTTCCTGCTTCTATTTTCACTAGGACCTGTATCCCTACCTCACTTTACACATGCCTTATAATGCAAACAGCATATGCCCTCCTTGTAAGGGACAAGGAGTTAATGATTTCTCTAGAATAAGTAACATGTAAGAAATGACAAGGACAGAATGGACAGCTATTATATGCGTATTCCAGACAACTGTAGCTAGACATCTCAATGCCAAGGCCCCCTGTCTCCAAGGAATAATACCTGGGCACTCATCTTTGTTCTAACTGGTACCTGAATGCCTTAGAGGACACATAAACCTCAATAACTGCCCCCAGACCCTGAACAAAGATGAGACTCCCCCCTTTCCTTTTGAGTCTCCCAGACACTCTGTATCTGCTGTATCTGCTCTCTCTATATATAAACTTTGCTTTCACCCTCCTGCTGGCTCACATTTGATTTCCATCATTTGCGAAGCCAAGAACCCTCTTGGCTGATCCTGAAGTAACACTTCAGGTCTCTGGACCCAGCCTGCCAGCATCACCTGCAGCTTTCTTTGTCTCTCAGTTGGTGTGTCATAATCATTGTCAGCTTTAAAAACCTTTACTGGTTTCCAAACAAAATGGAAAGAATTTATGTGATCTTGGAGCTAAATTAAAAGCATCAACTGAAACTCCTATTGTTTCTTTAGGTATTTAAGGATAACAAGAAACTTGAGAGAATTCTGTTTCTGTGGTAGGGAAGCAAGACTAGAGATGTGTGTGGTTAAGGTTCTCCCTTTGCCTGCTCTTTCTAGCTCCCTAGAGGGTTGAACATGAGTTTTCAGGCATCAGCTTAGTCATAAACTCAGGTGTAGGAATGTTATAGGATTCATTAATAATGACCCACTGTTCAAAAATTCCCATCAGAAATGGTAGCTAAGGCCAAAAAGCAGCATGTAACATGCACAAAAAGAGTGTGAGTTAGAGTGTAAAGCCCTGGGTTTGAGTTTTATCTGCTTAACCTGCTAGCTGTGGTTTTGGGCAAACCATTTTATCTCTCTGAACTTCCAATTTTCTCACCTATGAAACTAGACAAGTCATCCTTACCTTGTAAAATTGTTGTAAATCTCAAATTGCAACATGCAGCTTCCAGGTCATGAGGCCAGCCTTGTCTGATAATTATGGTGCTGAGCTTTCTTGCTCCCCAACTGATATTTTGTAGGCCTTTAAAATTCCTTTTTGATAAACCTAAAAATCTCAATGCCTCTTTTAGTTCATTTAAATTTTCAAAATAAGTTAAATATTGTGACAAAGAAATAAAGCAAAGGCAACTGAATATTTTAAAACTTATATAGCTACACCATTGTCCTTGGAAATTCCATATATCCTTTCAGGGTGGGGGTTGTCACAGATCTATACGTAGGCTCATACTAATGTGTCCTCCCTGCCCCCAACAGTGCCTCCTATTCCAATCGTTCTAGCCTTCATGGTCAAATTTACACATTCTTCCTCCTCAAAGAAGGCTTCCCTGACTGCCTTCTCTAGCTCATCACTGTGGTTTCCCTTCTCTGAATGCTAGCAGTGATTATGAAGACCCTTACACAACTTACATTCAGCCACCACACTGCTGAGTTGCATTAGTTCTGTTTCACAGCTTTTAGTCTGTCCATTTAAGCTGTGCCCAATAGTTCTTCCTTGCTTTTGCCTTACTGAGGGGTTGTCCAGGGGAAGACAGATGACAAAGCCTCAGAAATGTCTCTGCTCAGCTTCTGCACATGGCAAGAGGACAAAGCCCTCCTGAGCCCTGGTTGCCTGAGGTCCTATTGGGACCAGGCTGCCCAAAAGTCACTTGTTAATGATTGAGTGCTTTCATAGGGTCACAGTGAATAAGTGCTTGGTACAGATGTTATTTGGTCATCACAAGTTCCCTGCCTAAATGGGATAGTTGCTAATAGGATGCCAGTCTTCCTCCTTTTCCCTTACACTCATCCAAGTTGGAAGATATTAAGGAAGCCAGTGGTTCTCCAGAAGGACCCTGGCAGTCTGCAGACAAGCACCAAGCCTAGCCATGGATCCAGCAAGGAGCCTATCCAAGTCTCTGACATTACATAATTCAAATAGCTGGGAGAAGTTTGAATTTGGTCTCACTGGGTATTCATGGGGTTTAGTAAGACACTGTAAAACATTTTGTATAAGTGACAGATGCTGCAATCTGGGGCCTGTAACTCTTAGGGATTGCTGCCTCTCTCACTTGCTTGTCAGTAAAGTCTTCCCTTTTTAGAGAGGGACCCTATTTACTCCCCACCACTAGCCTGGACCACCCTGGGATTTCTCTCCAGATCTTGAGGAAGGCATGGACAGGACTTATATTTCTCATTATTATATTCCAATATCTAGAGTACATTCTTAATAACAAAATAATAACAGCAACAACAACAGCAGCAGGCAACACTTAGCATATATCATGTGCCAGACACTATTTCAAATGCTTTGCATTTTTCCCCAGCTTTATTGAGGCATATTTGACAAATAAAGATTATATATACTTAAGGTATACAATGTGATATTTTGATATATGTATATGTTGTGAAATGATCACGATTATCAAGCTAATTAGCTTATCTATCATCTCATATGGTTATTTCTGTGTGTGTGATGAGAACACAAGATCTGCTTTCTCAGCAAATTTCAAGTATACAATACAGTATTGTTAGCTATGGATACCATGTTGTACAATAACTCTCCAAAACTTATTCATCTTGCATAACAAAAAGTATTTTACTCTTTGACCAATATCTCTCCATTTCCCCCACCCCCACCAGCCCCTAGCAACCACTATTCTACTCTCTGCCTTTATGACTTTGACTGCTTTAGATTACACATGTAAGTAAGAGCATATAGTATTTACCTTTCTTTGTCTTATTGTTTTAGTATAATATCCTGTAGGTTGATCCATGTTGTCACAAATGACAAAATCTCCTTTTTTAAGCTAATATTACACAGTGTGTGTGTGTGTGTGTGTGTGTGTGTGTGTATGTGTGTATCATATTTTCTTTATGCATTCATTGCTTGGCAGCTAAATGCTTTGCATTTATTAACTTAAATAATCTTCACAAAAATCCTACAAGGTACATACTGTTGTAGCCCCATTTTATGAGGATATGTAGACATAGAACCATTAACTTACCCAGAAACAAAAGCTACTAAATGGTAGACTTGGGCTTTGAGTCCATACTACCTGGATCTAAACTCTGTGCTTCTTTGGGGAGCCTGGGTGGCTCATTCAGTTTCCCTCTCTCTCTACACCTCCCCCACTCTCATTCTGTCTCTCTCTCAAAAATAAATAAACGTTAAAATTTTTTAATAAAAAATGTAATATGTGTCTGTTTAATCACTGTATATACTGCCTCCCAACAACGATTTGCTGAATGAATGCGTACTAACACCAAATAAACAGTAATAGTATCAATAGCTAGCATTTACTAAGTACTTACTATGTGCCAGGCACTGCAAATGTAGTGTTTAATTTAATCTCACAGCCTCTCTTCTATACAGATACCATTATTATTTCCATTTTGCAGATGAGGGGATAATACTAGGCACAGAGAATTTGTCCAAGGTCATATGGCTCATGGACAAAAGGTAATTGGTGCCCTTTTGTCTGGCCCTAGAACCCATGCTCTTAATACTATACTTCATTACTTCCCATTACCTCAGGTGATCCTCCTCAAAGCCTCCTGAGATGAATTCTATCATCAGCCTGATTTGGCACTGAGGAAAATAAGGGGATAAAGTTAAAAAACTGGCCCAAGTTTAGAGACAGTAGAGTCTAGGACCCATGTGTTCTTGTTTCAAATCCCCATCTCCTTTGTGCTCTATCCCCAGTCTCTTTTGCTATTGTTGCATTTCTGAGTTACAAATGGCTCATCCTCCAAGTCCGGCCCTTCAGTGAAAGAAGAAATGGCCCAACTGCAGAAGTTCCTTGAACTTTCTCCAGCGTTATCATACTCTATGTAATTCCTGATCCTTCCAGAATACAATTAAACCAACATAAATAACTAGTAATTATGACACAGAGGACAACAGAGTATGTCCAGGATGGTATAATTAAAAACAAAGAATACAGGGGGAAAAGCTGTTCAGGCCAACTTCAGGCTGTAGGAACATTAGAGGATGCCTGAGGGGAGAGGAAAGGAGATCTCCTCCCCTCCTCAGAAAAAAAAGTAAATTGAAAGGGAAAAAAAAAGGAAACAAAAATCCCCAAAGCACCAAATTAACTTCCAGTATAATCATCTAAGGAAGAAAATAACAAAACATATGCATAACTAAACTAACAGAACAATGAGATGCAGAAGAGCAGAGACAGCCATCATGGAAGACAAGAAGATAGAAAACAAAGTCTTATTCTAGATTTTTAAAAAGGAAATTGACAAAGAGGGAAAACAGCAAAAGTTAAAGAAGCGGTCACAAAATTAGAAACCACTGATGTCTTTCCCCACCTACTATAATGGCCACTTCATTGGGAGCTTGGGATAATGGAGAGGGAGGGGCTTATGCTCCTGAGGTGGCCATCTCCTTCAGGAAAGAAGGGGTTGGGGTTACCTTCTTGCAGAGGACCATCTGGTGGTCAAACAGAAAGAAGACCCGCTGCTGGTTGCGGCCATAGGGCTGGTAGATCCAGGCCATCTCCCCAGTGTAGATCAGCTCCGAGCTCCTGTCTAGGATGTCCTCACCCTGGGAAGAACATGTGATAGTGAGAGGCAGCCAGGAAGGAGGGATGGCCCTGTCACCTGCCTGGAAGAACCTAAGGCTGGGCATAGACTAGGGCAGTAGGAGTAGAGAAAAGGCCTGATGGGAGAGAGGGATAGAGAGAAGGTCCCCTGGGAAGTCCTGGAGTTGGAAAGAACCATACTTTTGTTTATCCTGAGGCCAAATGAGCCCTACCACCCAGGACTGCTATATAGTCCCTCTATGGCAGCTGCTTTCTAGCACTACAGGCACCAAGGTTCATTCTGGTTCCATGAGGTTCATATTCTCTCTCTCTCTCTCTCTTTTCCTCCTCCTCCCTTTTCTCTATGAATTTATCTTTCTATACCAGTCCTTCATGCCAGATCTAGTCTCTTAGTCTCTTTCTTGTACTTGAAGAATAAGCCTAAGCACATAACAGAAGTTTCTCTGCTTCCCCAATGAGTAAAAGGGGATAGGGGAGGCCAAGAAGGAAACAGTGATAGATGGAGAAAAATAGAATACAGTCACTGTCTTAAAATTGTTTTTTTTTTTCCTTCTCCCCTCAGTTCACTAAAATATATCGATTAAATAGGAAACTTTACAACCACATGATTCTTTGGTCTGTTATTCACAGCCTGAAATGACTTTTTCTCCTTGCTACATAGTAAGACAAAAAAGTACCAAGACACTTAACTCCTAGCTAATTCAATTCTACAGAGTTTCCAAGGCCCCTTTTTTACAGCACCTCCGCTAGCTCAGAGGTATGTGGAGATATATGTCAGATGCCAAGCCAGATTTGTCCCCTATTCTCAAGGAGCTTACAGTCAGTGGAGGAAACTAATGCAGGTGTGCACAGAACTCATGGAATACAAGGCAAACCACAGCAAAGCCCTGGGCATAGGGGTGAGTGTTCTAGGACTTATATGAAGATAAGGACAAAGACCAGTGGTCCAGTACTCAGGAGAATTAATATTAGCATCTATATGCATCAGAAATTGGGCTACATACCTTCACTCTAAACCTTCTAAGCCACAAGAGAACCCTGGGAGGGAGAGAATTTCTTAATCTCATTTTATAGTCCAAGGTAGAGATGTCAGGTGATCAGCTAAGGTCACCCAGCTTGTTAGCTAGAGACACATAACTCAACCCCAATTCTGTGGCTCCAGAAAGTATCCTCACTCTTTCCACTACATTATGATGTATCTAAGCCAGTCAGTCCCTTCTTTTCTCTGGGTTTCAGTTTTTCCAGATATTAAATGAGCTACATGAGGATGATATCCAAGGCCCTAGCCCTGATACTCTAATTCAAAGATGTCAGCTTTGCACCCAAAAGTTTCAAGTCAAGGTTACAGTATACCCCATGCATCCCCCCATAAACAGTCAGAACAAATAGGCTAGGCATGGCAGTAGGCCAAAGAGAGGGGTAGCTGGAAATGGTGTTCTTGAGCATACCACTTTTCCAGTCTAAGGGATGAGAAGGAAAAGGGGAGCTCAGTGGAAATGTTTTCTAATAATATAACCTCAAAAAGAAAGTTAAGAGATAGTACTGTGATTCCAAGCTCTATTTCATGGGTATCTTGGAACTTAAGTAAGCATTCACCCTTGAGAGGCCCACATACTAACAGAACTTCTGGGACAGGAAGCCCACAGGGTGAGGGACTTGTGCAGGAATTTCCTGTTGGGTGGATAAGGAGCTGAGAGTGGTACCAGTCTGCCAGGTTCCACCCTGAGGCAGGCCAGAAGATGTGCCACAGTCCACTTTGAGTATGTATAAAGTGAAAAAAGCTATAAAAATGGGTCAGTGCCAAACAAAGTTGGACAAGATAACATTTTTTTCAGGATGACTTCTTTTTCCTTTTTCAAAATTTTATTTAAATTCTAGTTAGTTAACATATAGTGCAATATTGGCTTCAGGGGTAGAATTCAGTGATTCATCACATACAACACCCAGTGCTTATCATAAGTGCCCTTGTTGATACCCATCACCCATATAGCCCATCTCTCACCCACATCCTTCCAACAATCCTCAGTTTGTTCTCTGTCTTTAAAAGTCCCTCATGGTTTGTTCCTCCCCCACCACCACCATGTGTTCATCTGTTTTGTTTCTTAAATTCCACATAGGAGAGAAACCATATGTTATTTGTCTTCTCTGAGTTACTTATTTCACTTAGCATAATACATTATAGCTTCATCCACATCATTGCAAATGGAAGGATGAATTTTAAAATTACACTTGCTAAACTGAGGATGATCGGACCAGGATACCACTCAATATCATCTTGTCCACCTACCATAACAGACAGGAGCATTCTAGTTCTTTTTTTAAGTACCTGCCACACATAATTCCACTAAGAAAAAAAATAAGAATGAGAAAGAAAGAAAGAAAGAAAGAAAAGAAAGAATAAACTTGCCACACATAATGCCACCAAGAAAAAAAAGCAAGAAGGAAGGAAGGAAAGAAAGAAAGAAAGAAAGAAAGAAAGAAAGAAAGAAAGAAAGAAAAGACAAGAAAAGAAAGACAAGGAAGGAAGTAAGGGAGGAAGGAAGGAGAGAGGAAGAGAGGGAGGGAGGGAGGGCAGGAGAGAGAGAGTGAGAGAGAGAGAAAGGTAAATATACTCCTGTGTTCACCTAGCTGATTGATACCAGACAACTCACATATCCTCTCTGTGTGTTGGTTTCCTTGTTTCTACAAAAAATGCAATCAAAATGATATAAAACACATGTAAAGAATATTACTAATTGAGCTTCAAGTGGAGCTTGACTCTGCTAAGGCTGTAAGTCCAGAGGGAGAGAGAAGTCCATCTTGTTCCTGGTTTGGTCAGTCTCCAAAGAAAGAGGAAAGAAGAGCACCAGAAACTCCAGACTGGTGCTGGCTGAAGCCAAGTCCTGCCAATTCTAGCCAATTCCAATGCTATAAAGGGTCAAATTGTGCCAAGGTAGGGTCGCAATGTGGCTGTGCTACACTTAGTTTCCTAATCCTTAAAATGAGGGTAATAACAGGGGCACCTGGGTGGCTCAAGTCTGTTAAACATCTGACTTCAGCTCAGGTCATGATCTCATGGTCTGTGGGTTCAAGCCCTGTGTCACACTCTGTGCTGACAGCTCAGAGCCTGGAGCCTGCTTCAGATTCCGTGTCTCCCTCTCCCTCTGCCCTTCCCCACTCATGCTCTCTCTCAAGCTCTCAAAAATGAATAAACATTAATAAAATTAAAATGAAAGAACACAGAAGATGGCGGCATAGGAAGACGCTGGGCTCACCTTATCCTGCTGATCACTTAGATTCTACCCACATCTGTCTAAATAACCCAGAAAACCACCAGAAGACTAGCAGAAAGGACTCTCCGGAGCCAAGCATAGACAAGAGGCCCACAGAAGAGGGTAGGAAGGGTGGAGAGGCAGTGCATGCTACATGGACTGGCAGGAGGGAGCTGGGGCGGTGGAGGGGTAGCCCACCCGGCAAGGCAGAGCCACAGAGTCTGGCTTGCAAAAGCAGAGGGGCTGGACTCCTTGAGTTCTGACAGCCAGCAGGACTTAACCTCTGGAATGTTAAAAGTCAATGGCTCTGCTCTTGGAGAGTGGGGAGGGCGAGAGTGCACTGGGAGGGAGAGTTGTTGAGCCCCAGAAGACAGAACTCACCTCGGTGGGGAACAAAGGCACGGGCAAGCGCCATCTCCCTCTCCCATCCCCCAGCTGAAACCCCAATCCCTGTCATGGAACTTGCTCCCACTGTGCAAACACTCAAAGCTGTGCTTCTGTGGACCCATTCCTCCAACGGATCTGCCTCCTTCCCAGTGCTGCAGGGCCCCTCCGAAAGGGGACCACCTAAGGCAAAGCCAGCTAAGCCTGCCCTTCCCACCACTGTGCACCTTGCAGATCAACCCCGGCTAATACCCCAGATCCCATCAAAGCATCACCACAAGCCTGGCAGTGTGCAAGTAGCCCAGAGAGAGGTCTCACCACTCCACAGTGAGTCCTGCCCCTGGGAGAAGGCAAGATAAGGTACACACCATTCTGACTGTGGCCTCAGCAGTGGGCTGGGGAAAGACATCCAGTCTGACTGTGGCCCCACCCACCTACACAAGTTACTCCGGACAGTAGAGGGGAAGTGCCCTGCATTTTGGAGACACCCAGGGACTACCCAAAATGACAAAATGGAAGAATTCTCCTCAAAAGAAACTCCAGGAAGTATGGACAGCTAACAAATTGATCAAAAATGATTTAAGCAATATAACAGAACAAGAATTTATAATAATAGTCATAAAATTAATCACTGGGCTTGCAAAAAAGCATAGAGAACAGCAGAGAATCTATTGCTACAGAGATCAAGGGACTAAGGACTAGTCATGAGTAGCTAAAAAATGCTATAAATGAAGTGCAAAATAATTCATAGGTGGCCATAGCACAGATTGAAGAGGCAGAGGAGAGAATAGGTGAAGTAGAAGATAAAATTATGGAAAAAGAAGAAGCTGAGAGAGATAAAAAAATCCAGGAGTCTGAGGGGAGAATTACAGAAATAAGTGATGCAATCAAATGCAACAATATCTGAATCCTAGGAATTCCAGAAGAAGAAGCGAGAGAGAAAGGGGCTGAAGGAGTATTTGAACAAATCATAGCTGTGAACTTCCCTGATCTGGGGAAGGAAAAAGGCATTGAAATCCAAGAGACACAGAGAACTCCCTTCAGACGTAACTTGAATTGATCTTCTGCATGACATATCATAGTGAAACTGGCAAAATACAAGGATAAAGAGAAAATTCTGAAAGCAACTAGGGATAATCACGCTCTAACCTACAAAGGGAGACCCATAAGACTAGTGGCAGACCTATCTACTGAAACCTGGCAGGCCAGAAAGGAATGGCAGGAAATCTTCAATGTGATGAAAAGAAAAAAAAAATATGCAGCCGAGAATCCTTTATCCAGCAAGTCTGTCATTCAGAATAGAATGAGAGATAAAAGTCCTCCCAACAAACAAAAACTGAAGGAATTCATCATCATTAAACCAGCCC